CATGGCGACATGACCAGTCACCAAGCATGGCGTGCCGCGTGACATTGGGATTGATGCATGCTACCTCGCAAACAAACAATGTCTTGTTGCAATGATTGACTATGATATTCCTGGACCACCAGTCCTATGTCCAACCTCGTAATGTGTGGGAACTGAGTGTTGAAATGGACAAGAACTTCCTTGTCTTGCCAACACTGTGAAGTTCTGTCGGCCTCTATTCCATTGTCAATGGCTGCGGGCATGTTTGGCGGCAACGATTGTGTGCAATCCTTGCTTCCTTAAGCTCGGTTTTGGTGCAATTGCTTCTGAAAGCTTCTGCAACAACCTCCACTGCAAGCTGCAATTGGGTCAGGAGGGGCAGCACTTCCTGCAAAACATTGGCTCAATGACTGATGCCAATGATGCCTGACACTGGCCAACAGCCTCATCTGCCGGACGCAATGGCGCTTGTGAGCACAGTGCCATGAAGCTCTCGGACAACTTTGCCAAAAGCCTCCCAAAACCCAAACGCCAACATGAGTTTAGAGGTCTCGAGCTCCAAGGCTCAAATATATATAAATATAACATTATATAACCAATTGATTTGATTGAATGTGAGTGTGTGTGTGTCTTTCCGCCATACAACTATATATTGTCTGTATGTACAAAGCTTGCCATGTTGTTTCTGAGCAATTATCTGTGCCAAGCGATGTTAGCACCTAATACGACAAATGCCAAGCACGCTGCTCAGCAGGCGGGCCTCCCTGAGCCTGGTTTAGCTCCTAGAACAAGGCCTTGGAAGACAAAGAAAACCTTGAAACTATGTGCAATATTTAGCAGGAGGACTGGGGTCTTGGAACCAACTTGATGTTGAACTGGTCGCAACACTTTCCGCAAAACAATCTGACAGCTTGTTTTGATGCATCTTGTCAAACTTAAAGCTGTGAATGGTAGATGAAGCTCTGGGTATCAGGCGAAGCGCCATAGCAGACGTAATAGACAGGCTTTGCCCTTCAGCCTCGAAAATCCATCGAGTTCAATCTGTTAGAAACTCGAAAGTGTCAAAGCCCTCAGACGTGTTTGACATGTTTTTGCCCCGGGAGGGGTTTAGGCCAGGGTGGGCTAACCAGAAGCTAGTAGTACAGGGTAAGTAGTAGCTTGAGTAGCTTCTGAGGCGGCAAGATGCGGAAGGGCTCAGGCTTAATTAATGACGTTTGTTGTAGTTGTCTGTGTGTTTCTAATCAATATCAAATTGGGGCATCTCCACCACTGCTAGGAGCCAAACGAACCGCCGAAGCGCAAATAGTTTTGCTGCCTTGCGGAACGTGTTGTCATTCGATGTCAAGCAGGACGCAAAACAAAGGCGATACATTGATTGATAAATACGAGGAATAGAACATGAACCCACCACTGATCAGTTGCACCGTATTCTATCACCTGTACCAAAATGGTGGGGATTAAGAAGAATGGTGCGGATGCAAATGGTGGGAAAGCGGTGTCCTCGCAAGCTAGCTTGGTGGGGATGTGATGTTGAAGCAACTTCGTCTCAACTATGTAGTCCGCTGGTGCAATCGTGTTCACTGGAGGTGCACATAGCCTCGTTCCCTTATATAAAGTGGACTTCTCTCAGCACCAAACTGATTTGCCCTCAACAAACTGTTTGCAAGGCTCTCACTCTCACCCGGCACTATATTACCCAAGTTCTTCTGATCCTGGCCACTGTCACTTCAGACGACGTGGGGGTGCTCTGACTCTGCCTACAAGAGCTTGATAACAAGGAGGACTCCTTGTGTCTTGCCTTTGGCTAACAGGGACCAGGAACTTGCAAGGAAGTAATTGAAACAATGACCACTTGTTCCACGAGCTGGTGGGACTTGATACCATCCAACACTGGATCGGGCGCCAAGAGTGGCCCACAGCTGGAAGTGTTCATGGATCGAGGGTGTGGTTTTGGTGCTTCTTGTGATTGAAGTTGTTTTGAAATGGAACAAAGCCACCGGAAGCCTCCAAAGTGGCATCAGCAGCAATGCTGGACTCACCAGCATTCAGTAGCCTTAGTTGAAAAACTGACAAGCTGGCTGGATAGAAATTCCAGCGTTGCTTGAAAAGGTGCAAAGATATATAAGGACTCGGACGCGACTCTGCAGGCCTTTAAAAACTCTGCAGCGCTTGGTTGAGGGTCGTCAACCTGCTAAGAGTCCAACAGAAAGAGTCGCTGAGTTTTGAAGCAGGTGCAAGAACGCAAACTGTGTGATTAAGGATGACGGAGCGACCCTGGGTCTTTCCGCAGTGGCCACTGACCTAGCCGCATGAGTCACAATGATCACAAGGTCAAGGCTTCGAAACTGTTTGCAAGCTGTTTGTGTCAAATTCTTGTGAACAATAAATACAGTAAACAGTGTACTGCACTCTTTCACGCGCATGAGACAAAAAGAACATGAGAGAGAGAGAGAGAGAGTGATAAGGGAAGTACAAAACACAAGCACGATATGAATTATTGCATCCAAAGATCCGAAATCCAACCACAATCTACTTGGCAAGGTTCAACCAAGTGTGTCTGATCTGGGTTCTGCACTGAGGTTTCGCAGTCGAGGCCATCCGAACCTTTGAGATGCAGAACAGCAAACGTGCTGTGAAGTCGCCAAAACTCACAGACAAGCGAAACGAGTTCAGAATCTGGGACAGAAGCCCTTAATTCGAGGACAGCTTCGCTATGTTTGACTGCCTGAGTCCAGAAACTGCACAAGATAAGGGCCGTGTTTCCACAACTTCAACTTCGATCTAAAGTTCTGAGACCGCAACACACAGGTGGTGCCACAAAGCAGGTACATTAACTTCTAGCAGCTGCAGCCTGTCGTCTTGGAAGCCATGGCGCGTTGCTTCCAATCGTTCGGCTATATCAACAATGTCCCCCCAGCAAAAGAGGGCAACTGTCTCTCAACAACAACAGCAACAACAACAACATTGCATCATATTGCATCTACTACGTGCAGCTTGAGTCGAGGGACACTGTAGGATCGATTGCTTGTTCGTCTTCATCCTCTTCTTCCTTGTCCTTCTCTCTCTCCTGAAAAATCTACTGCGTTGGACAATGCACGTTTGCTACGCCAGCTTCTTCTGCAAACTAAATTTATATACATAGTGGATCATAATGGCACAAGGATTCTAAATTCCTCTTCAGTTTGTCGCTTCTTTTGGTCAGGCCTCAAATACATGATATGTGGCAAGTTACGGGCAGCATCAAGTCTTCCGTTGCTGGAGATCTTAGGGCCAATGCCCTGAAGGTTTGCTGCTGCTACTTCCGCCCTCTTCGGCCTGTCGGCATCCAGCTACGTTAAACTTTAACTGTGTTATATTATGAACACAGTTATAATAAGATATAATAAGTAAGTAATCAATCATACTATATATACAGTAGTTTCTCTGGTTCTTCTTCACGAGTTGCATGCCCCTGCCTGCTGTTGCTTGCTTGCACGACGCTGCACATTCCGAAGGTTCTGCAGGCCTGCGTGCGGTTGCTTTTGAATGTATTGGACATTTTTGAAATGGTGAGAAGTCCTTCCAAGTCACTGTTGGTGAGCTGCCAGCCTCGACACAAACTCCGACCCTGAACAAATCTGCTGAGTCCTGGACTCCTGGACTGATTCATGTGCCTTTGGAGGTAAGTACAGACGCAACTGCTTCACATCCTTTCCAGTGGGCCTTAGCATAAAGAATGATTCTGAAGACTGATGCAAAGTCCAAACCCACAAACAGTTTTCAAAGTAAGTGGCCTCTCACATCTTGGCTACTGTATGCTACTGTCATCTAAGGTCTTCTGGGGTAGAAATACAAAGCAGGTATCAACCAGCTGGTGCTGGTCACATTGCTTGTTGACACTGTGCCTGTGCTTTCAAGTTCAGTACTGTTGGTACATCACCAATTTCATGGCTGGGACAACGAAAATATTCGACATTCCTGTGGGCCAATACAGCCCTCGAAGGACAAGTTGGGTGAGGAAAAGTAGGAAAAGAGGATACAATCCAACGGAAAGCTGCTTGGCGTCAGAGACAGTGCGGCACGGACCAAACCCAAGAGCATCCAAAACCGCAACCTGCTGCAACCCTAAAGGCTCAACCCATAAGCCTGCCAAACAGCAATCAACCGTTTTTTGATCCCAACCCTAACCTCCACAAGCAAGTCAAGAGTTTACCAAGAACCAACACTATCTTGAAAATCCGCCGGCCTGCAGGCGTGTTTTGTGGATTGTTTTGGTTAGTATTGCTTGTGTTGGTTTCAATCTACGGTTTCTCTCTCCGCGCGGATTTTTCGACAGCCTGACGCCCCCCCCCTCTCCCCCCCCCAGTAGTAGTAGTAGTAGTAGTAGTAGTAGCAGTAGTAGTAGTAGGTACTAGGTAGTAGGTAGTAGGGGTGGTAGTAGTAGGTAGTAGGTAGTAGGTCGAGTAGGTCGTAGGTAGTACGTAGTAGGTAGTAGGTCGCTGGATCAGAATAGACAACCATTGGACTGAGACATGTCGATCGCTGGATCAGAATAGACAACCTCTGATTCGGATTCGTTCCATTTCATTGTAAAACGACTTCGCTTGAAATCAACAGCAACAAACTCTCCCAGCAAAATGTGCAACTCCAATGCACCCACAAGTCTGATTGAGCAGGGTATTGTTGTTTGATGTCATTCTAGGTCTTTCATTTCAAACGGTTTGGAGAAAAAACGACAAATCATGCCAGATCTAGAAATTCTTCGGTCGCTTTGAAGCCTTCTGTGTGTGAAAAAGAATATCTGGTGCGTGTCGCAGTCCCTCGAGACGGTCGAAAAAAAGATCTGAAAAGGAAAACATGCAAACGGCCAAGTAGTTTGGAAGAAGAGTCGTTTTCAAGGTCATGTTTTGTGGATAGTCTTGGTTCGCATTGCTTGTGTTGGTTTCAATTGGTTCCTCTTAGGTGATTCGACTGAGACATGCCGGTTCGGATCGCTGGATCAGAATAGACAACCTCTGATTCGGATTCGTTCCATTTCATGGTCAAACAACCTTGAAATAAACATCAACAAACTCACCCAGCCAAATGTGCAACTCCAATGCACCAACAAGTATGATTGAGCAGGGTATTGTATCATTAAGCTGCCTGCCAATGCGGGCTCGAGCTGGTGGCCGGCGGCATGCCGAAGGCTGTAAATATCCATGCCATGGTGTTGGCTCAAAACTTGAAGTACGTTCAAAATTCCACAAACCCATCCGAAGGTAGAGATTGGTTGTGCAAGGCCCCTCAGAGGCTGCAGCCCACATCAAAGAAGTTATTTCGGAACTCTTTGTCGCCTCAAGAATCAAAAGATATCGAAGGTATGCTTCTCTTGAAACAGGATCTCAAAGCAAAGAAGGTGTGAAACTTGGCCCTGAGCCTTGCCACCGGCTCCCACTGAGAGCAGCAAAGATGCGAAGTTGTTGTCGTTGCCAAGCGTTGCTAACTCCAGCAGTGTGATACCCCCAGCCTTCAGCAATTTGACATTCAAGAGCGTAGCTACTAACTTGCCATTCTACTACACACAAGCCACCTGAGTGTGTATGCCTAAATTTCGGAAGGGTGCAGCGGCACAATCGATCAATTGTTGCCGGAGAAACCTCTGCACGAGCTGTTGGCTCTGGCAGCGGCTTGCGACAGGCAGGACCTTGGGAAGCAGGATCGGGAGCAGCTTCTCAGAGTTTATGCAAATGATTACAGTATTTGATGGTCTTTGGCAATGTTTTTGCTTCTTTACAATGGTTGTGGGTGGACTAACTCTTACTCAAGGTTGCTCCTGTTGGTTGTGGGTTTGGCCGCTCTGCCGGTATTCTCAGCACAGCTTGGACAGCATTTGTGATACTTGAGCCGAGCTTTTCTTCACAAGAGTGACTCGAAAAACCATTGGCATTGCTGATATTTTCGCAGCATTCTGCAGTAAGAATTGCATACAACACTACACCACCAACATTGATTGCGCAACATCATTGACATCTCCCCTGCTTAACTGTCGAGGCTTCAAGACCTTGAGTCAGTCAGTCTTTTGGAATTTCGAGGGCTTCAACGCATGTCGTCTATATAAAGACATGGTGGTTTGAGCAGTTGTCTTTGGTCTATCGATCTGTGCTTTGTGTCATTTTGTGCCTCAACCTGAAATGAATAAGGGCGATACACGATGCTCCATTCTGTCCCTCCGCGCGCCAGCCACCCAAACCTTGGCACAGCTAGTAGCACTACTTAATTGAGCAAGGGTGAGGGCAACGGCCAACAAACAAACAAACCAACAGGCTTGGCACAGAAAGGCTCAGCTGGAGACAACCACGATGGAAGCAATGGCCACAATAAAGGCGAGTGAAGGGTGTGTCCTCAGGTGTCTATAGAACTTTAGAATAGATTTCACTTAGAGACCTGAGGTATTCTGAGGTCTTGTGGTCAATGGCGAATTCTTTCAAGCACACCTGCCATGCGAAAACTACAGGTAGGCCAAGGAGGGTACACCATCTGATGGGCCCTCCATGCAAATGACCTTGGTTTGGAATCAACAGTAGCATGCTGCCAGTTTCACATTGCACGCTTGCGAACCTCTGCAACCAAGCATTGTGAAAACATTAAAAACATGTAAAAAAACATGGCGACAACTACCAAACCATTTCCTCTGTGGCCTTTGCACACATTTCGCCCTTCAGCTGGTCGTCAGTAGCACTGGCATCTTCACCTAGAACCTGACTATTCAGAGACTGCAAAAAACACTCTGCCACGCTTTGCAACCCTGTTTGGTTTGACAAAACGACATGAAAACGGTTGTTTTGTTTAGCAGTTTAGCAATGTTCAGTTAGAAGCCCGCAACTCAGCTGCCAGCACCGGCAGTTGCAACCTTGATGCGGTCCTCGACGCCAGCACCCTCGGGGCAAGCCTTCAGAAACTCAATGCAAACTATGAGTTGGGTGCATACTGAAAAAGCGGGAACATTGAATAACTACCAACGAAAGCCAGCCTCTGTAATAATATACAACTGTTGTTATAGGGCGAAGTCGACGTTGCACCGACCTCTACTGCTGTTAGCCCCTGGGAAATAGACGCAGAGTTTCGCATTGAGGCCCATATGATAGAGCCTATATACACAACGCCTCGATCAACTCCCATCCGCTGTTACAGGCCATGATCCGTACAAAGTCCGACCCCCTTGGACATTTACAGCTCTGCGGGGTGCCCTCTTTCTTCCGGTTAAAAGCCTTTTTCACAATACAAAACACTCAGGGGTTCCTGTCTGCATTCTATTTTCTCTCCTGTCCTCTACCTGGACTGATGAATCTGGTGAGCCCACCTCAATATGGAGTGCCCTCGTTTGTTGCAGTATGTTTTTTTGTAGCTAAAAGGAGGTCCGCAAATGTTCTCCAACTGATACTGGTAGATGAACGGGCTTGGGGGGCCTGATCATGGAATGACAAATTCAAGGCCCCCAGCCTGAGGAAAAATCTGCTCTTAAATTTTTGCAGCCAATCACCTAGCCATATCGAGAACAAAGCGTCATTACAAAATCCAAGACCCCTGGGCACAAGTGCGCATGCATTTTGGCTATTGCAAGATCTTTTCCCCCCAGACCCCAAACAGTTTGTGTTTTTCAAAATCGAAACTAGAGCTTGCGACCTCCAAAGCTGGGAGACAAATGTAAAGGATTGCAAGGCAGAGACGGACACAGCAGTACAGAGCGGGCGGACACATCTTAAGAAAGAATTGAGAAGCCCTAACAGTAAACCTTTTGGGGAATTATTCTTCAAGCGCGAACATGATGCTGGTCACGCTGCTCAGTCAGCGGGGAGCTGAACGTGAGGACAAGAAACAAAAGCATGAGGAGCGAAGGATGTGACATGAAATTGATTTTTGGTGCCTGACGTATGCCCTCCGCCCCAACTGAACAGAGAGATCGCTGCCACGCCGCCGAAATCCAATCCGGTCATGCATCCAACGGTTGCCCGAAAAGGAAAACAAAGCTGAGAGAGTTACACAGTGTGGCAGGAATGCAATCCCGGAGACAGTCACGCACCCCTTGCAAAGGAGCAAGAACCTTTCACAGGCGAACCTGTACCAGCGGACAGGGCAGAAACAGCAGTGCAGGCACCAAACCTGAAAGACAAAAAGAAAGAAATCACATGGGAAACAAATAAATAGAAATGCTACATGGCCAGCGGAAAAGGGCGGCAGCACCAGTGACAGACCCGGGAAACAAATGAATAGAAATGCTGCATGCCCAGCGGAAAAGGGCGGACACCAGCAGTGACAGACCTGGAAAACAAATGAATAGAAATGCTGCATCGCCAGCGGAAAAGGGCGGACACCAACAGTGACAGACCTGGGAGACTAATGAATAGAAATGCTGCATGGCCGACGAAAAGGGCAGACAGCAGCAGTAACGGACCTAAACACATGAATAGAAATGCTTCATGGCCAACGGAAAAGGGCGGACACCACCAGTGACAGACCTGAAAGACAAATGAATAGAAATGCTACATGGCACCAGCAGTGACGGACCTGGGAGACAAATGAATAGAAATGCTTCATGGCCAATAGACAAGGACACACCAGTGACAGCCTGGGGGACAAAAGAATAGAAATGCTACATGGCCAGCGGCAAAGGGCGGAAACCACCGGCCTGGGAGACACATGAATAGAAATGCTGCATGGCCAACGGACAAGGGCGGACACCAGCAGTGACAGACCTGGGAGATGAATAGAAATGCTGCATGGCCAGCGGAAAAGGATGGACACTGGCAGTGACAGACCTGGGAGACAAATGATTAGAAATGCTACATGGCCAACGGAAAAGGGCGGACAGACCTGGGAGACAAATGAATAGAAAGAGCGGAAAAGGGCGGACACCACCAGTGACAAGCCTGGGGGACAAATGAATAGAAATGCTGCATAGCCAGCGGAAAAGGGCGGACACCAGCAGTGACAGACATGGGAGACAAATGAATAGAAATGCTGCGTGGCCAACGGAAAAGGGCGGCAGCACCAGTGACAGACCCGTGAAACAAATGAATAGAAATGCTACATGCCCAGCGGAAATGGGCGGAACCAGTGACAGACCTGGGAGATGAACAGAAATGCTACATGACCAACGGAAAAGGGCGGACACCAGCAGTGCAGGCTGGGAGACAAACGAATAGAAATGCTACATGGCCAGCAGAAAGGGGCGGACACCAGCAGTGACAGACCTGGGAGACAAAAGAAATGCTACATGGCCAGCGGCACCACCAGTGACAGGCCTGGGAGACACATGAACAGAAATGCTGCATGGCCAACGGACAAGGGCGGACACCAGCAGTGACAGACCTGGGAGATGAATAGAAATGCTGTATGGCCAGCGGAAAAGGGCGGACACTGGCAGTGACTGACCTGGGAGATAGAAATGATGCATGGCCAGCGGAAAAGGGCGGAAATTAGCAGTGACAGACATGGGAGCCAAATGAATAGAAACAGCGGAAAAGGGCGGACACCACCAGCGACAGATCTGGGAGACAGACGAACAGAAATGTTGCATCGCCAGCGGAAAGGGGCGAGGAAGTAGCCGGGAACCGGACCACAAGCACCCAGCCTGAGAGACAAATGAAAAGAACTGGGACACAAGAGAAAAGAAGTGGTAGACAAATGAAAAGAAGTGGGGGACAAATTGGAAGTGGGAGACAAAGACAATGACAAGAAGTGGGAGATAAATGAAAAGCAGTGGGAGACAAATGAAAGGAAGTGGCCTGGGAGACAAATTGGGAAACAAATGAAAGGAAGTGGGAGACAAGCCAGCCGGGAACCCGACCACAAGCATCCAGCCTGGGAGACAAATGAAAAGAACTGGGAGACAAATGAAAAGAACTGGGAGACAAATGAAAGGTGGGAGACAAGCCGGCCGGGAGCCCGACCAGACCATCCAGCACCAAGGCGACCATTCTTTAAAGCATTGAGAACCCCTAACAGTAAACTGTTTGGGGAAAAAGACGTCTGTACAAATAAGCACCGGCTTTGACACCCTAGTGTGTTTGATCCTGGAAGGGATTTGGCTATAGGTATTCTAACTGGATGGACTCCTGAGCACTTCGTGATGCTATGTGATGCTGCACTGTTCAGCGTCATTTGCATCACTCGCATCACCAAGACCCCTAACACATACATGTTCACTACCTTTTGGACCCTCATTGTTTTCGCTCTCCCCAACCAGACTCCACCACCCCCCTATTACTCACTTCATTCGCCCATCGACAACTCAGCCATGCCTACCGGCTGGCTTTCGTAATATATATATATATAATAGGTCTTCAAGCATATTGAAATTTGCTTCTGGTTGTTAGTTCCAGAAGTCAAAAAAACTTACAGCCAAGTGGATTCCAAGCTCAGTTCTCCAAGGGCTTCAAAGGCGTGAAGTGATCGGGGCTGCAAAGTAGGTCGCATCCTGGGCACAAACTTTTTGGAGGGGTAGGCCGGGTAGGCCATGGGTATATAGGCCATGCAGCTGATAGGTAAGAAAATACAGGGAGCAGGATAAGCAGGTGGTATAGGAAGCAGGATGAAGCAGGTAGTGGCAAGCATAGGCTTCTACCTGGCTGCTACTACCTTGGACGCTTAGGGCTCAGGTTCTTGCAGGAGGTGAGCCGACACATGAAAGCTCAGGCTTCTTCAAGGATGCTGCCCCCGCCCCCCTACAGACGGCGGGGAAGCTTCTTTGAAGAAGCCCTCGTACTATTCAATTCATTTGGTTACTATAGATTCTTAGGGAAAATTAACAATGGGCAATCATGATCAATCACGTGAATATAATGCACCCCCACGGAAGTTTACGAACTGAGCCTTCCAAAGTGCAACCAGGCGCAATCCACATCTGATGCACAGTATCACAAAATTACAAGGAAGCGAGCAACCAATGCTATCTCTCGTACTTGCTGGGCATAGAAGGTAACAACACCTGCACCAGCCTTGCCAGGTTGACAACTCACTGCAGAAATCACACTATATAAGGTCACCATATTATACAAATTCACACAACAGCACAGGACACCACAACTCGCCACAAGGTCACAATGCACTAGCATAACCCACTGCAAATCACCTTAAATGATCTTGGCAAGCTCAAGGACTACTCCGTCTTGCAACGCACACCACCACACCAATTTCTTCTTATATTACAGCAATCGTATGTTTGTCCTCCTGGCACAATATCGCTCCCAGTAACTATGTAGCAGGTTCCAGTCTAGTTTTTTTTACCTATGCTCTACAAGAATGCACATCAAAACCCATGCAGAGCATAACTAGTATACTGGAAACACATCCATTCCGAGTGCCAAACATTGCCGGCGCCAGCATTGCCGGAATCTCCTGTGACTTCTCTGATTTCGGGATGCCAGAACATTAATTATTGTTTGGGTTACATGATACTGCAGGTCCAATGTTGCAATGCTGGGTCAGAATGTTCAAACAAAACCTTGTTTAGTCTTTTTCTTGAAGTGGCAATCTTGCTCCTGCGCCCAGTTCGCACGGTTCAAAAGCACAGGACACCGTTCCAAGATGGGAGCAAGGAGCCTCTCCTGGCATGTGGAAAGCACAAGGTTCCGAAAACGTCTCACCGAGCGCATATTCGTCCAGAGCCTAGGGCGAAACTTTGGTTGTTACTGCTTCTTCTGATTCGATGGTGCTTGATGGCAGGACCGGAATCTGAAAATACGTTAACACCGGTAACACCAATGTTGACTGTAGTCTCATACGACACTAGTTGGCCCGCCACACACTCTTTACTTGTGATCTGGAAACATAAATCAAACGAAAACAAGACAGCAAGACCCTGGTTCCCCCCAAATGCGCCGCCAAATGCAGCACAGTGGATCCACCTGCTAAGCCTCACGTGAGGTCACACTGCAAAGAGCTGAGATTGCAGATTGCACTTCGCCTACTCGCCAGCAAACTTCTCCTGGCAAAGCCTGCAACTGAAGCTCTGCAACTCTAACCCTGTTATGAGCGCACAAAGAATGAGCAAGACCTCCTCAAGATTTGCAGGCGAGCAATGGGGCAGCAACACCTGAGCTGAGAACATCAACCAGATGATCACGAACATGCATACAATGAAGAAATGCAAAGCAACATGAAGGCCTGACAAATGGTTCAGTTGCCTTAAAAGCGTCCTCTACAAAAGAGCTCTTTAGACAAATAATGAAAATCTGAGAGAACTAATGTGGCATCTGAAAGATCTCCACATGTTCACTTGGATTGTGAACATACTACATAACATAAGACTAAGAGGGATAGACTGCACTTGTACTAATTATGTAGGACTTTGTGCTCTTTGTCCGCTGAACTTTCAGGGAAGTGATTGTGTGTGTGTGTTCTCACCACCATGTGATTCTGTGCGATTCTCAAGCAATCATTGAGGTTGCCACAAGTGCAGCCAAGCACTCCCCGCACAACATGGCAAGCGTGAAGGCTGAAAGTCCTTTGTCAGCCTTCAAATCTGGACTCACCTTGCAAAGGTGCGGCATTGCATGACTTGCGTGGCGAGACACAACATGAAGCAAACAATGTATAATTAGCTAGGCTATATTTGTTAAACACGTGATTGAAAAAGCATATGCTAAATCAGTGGAACGTTCTCAAGCGTCAGGCCCCTGTTGCAAGCAGGTACTTGCAAACATCAAGATGCCCCCCACCTTAGTGATGTCTTGTGCTTTGCTTTCGCAACTTGCTATGAGAAGCGGCAAAGGTCCTGGCTAGCTGCAAAATGCAACGCTCTAGCCCCAGTGGAGCCGTTCTCTCGGAAAAAGGCCACAAGGCCTCGGTGAGCGTTGCACACCTTCATGCGAAATCAAGAGCTAGTGTGGGTCTGTCTTTTCACATTGAGCCAAGCAAACGCAGGTAACGTGGTCTGGGCACCAAACGAATGAATCCACATGCCGACGCCCCATCAATTGGCAACAACTGCTGATGCTGGCTAACTCCTCACACAGTCCAAGTACTTGAAAGCTCGGCACTCTTTCCAAACTGTGCACTGGGAGATTCTCAAGTGTCAATATCTTGAAACAAAGGAACTGCACCTTAGATGGACACCACTGGGTTCCGGCTTTATCCTGCCTCCTCCCTGGTGCATGTCGGCTCCACGAACGTACAGAAATTGTGCAGCATGAAGATTCCTGGCTTCGCTTCTCTCCATCTCCTTCTTGGCCACTCACTAAAGTGCCGAGCTCATTCCAGATCCACAATGCAGAGTATATGGAGCGAGCACAACTACTTGTAAAGGAAATTGTTAGGCTGTATATATTGGAGGCAGGCTTGGTCACCTAAAGGACATCACAAACACATATTTAGTATTTGAGTCTTTTGCAAGTGCTGCCCCTGCCCGGTCCCTGCAAGAGCTGCCAGCAACAGCGGCCTTGAAACAGCGTAAAGGGCTTTTGTGCTGAATGCCGTGGGGTCTTAGCTAACTCAACGCTGAGTGCCGGTCGACACCCTGAATGGGGCCGCGTTAGGATCAAAGCCACGTTCAAGCAGAATTTGCAACGCTGAAACTCCAGCCTCGCCAAGACCGAAACATCTGCATACCCAAAACATCAATGGAATGCGAAATGATCAACATTCACAGTTCCCCAATCTCTATGTTCTCTATGATTATAGTAGATGCACGTGTGTGTGTGTGTGTATACTGTACTGTATATACTATATATATATACTTACGGACAAACACTTAGAAGATATTTTGGAAACTTTTTTTTTTCCAAGAGACCCGCGAGAGATGTTCTAAGTATATCACTTAGTCAGCAAATGCCAAGACACGTCTTGCAGGTGGATAGGGATGTTCTAAGTGTATGCTTTCTGCAGGGCTGGAAGCACTTTGGGGGATGGGACACAAGAGAACATATGTTCTAAGTATGTGTCCGATGATGCAAAGCTAAATCATAGGAAATGCAAATGGCAATGATTGTGGAACCTATGTTCCAAGTGTGCGGACATCACAGGACTCTATTGACAATGGTGTTCAGAATGTGGCTCCAACATGCACACTCGAGAGGAAAGGCAATCAAACTATGCAAATTGGTCAGGTTTGCACTCTACACTACACGTATATATATATATATATGTAGAATATAGAGGACTGCTGGTGATTTGACAATTTGATCTCAAAATGCGGTGGAACACATGCCAAACTTGAACCGTCCTGTAGCTATCACCAGCCATGTTCACTTTGTAGCAATCACTTTTCTTGGAGTCGATAGGGTCGCCTCACTCACGCAATGGGGGATCTTCCTGATCTTCCACCAGAAGTCAAAGAATTCGGATATGGGATTCTATGCAGCAAGGAGCAGGGGGTTGGGGCTGAGATGGCCAGCATCATTGTTCTAAGTGTAGGTTTACCCCATTGTTGGCTAACTTGGACATGTGCCATTCTTCTGGTTTATGATGTGAACAGAGTGGTTGGGGAAGGTAATCCAAGAGATATGGGGCAATATGTGTGATTTAGAATGTCAACCGTGATGAGCCCACATAGACAGGCCCAGCATATTGTGTAATTAGCATTCTTGGAAGTAAAAATATACATCAATGGGTGTTGTTCTAAGTGTGTTGTTGCCAAGCTGTTTGGCCGAGGGAGTCTGTCTGCTTCTAGGCTACTAGGAGGGCGGTCCCTGAATTTCAAAGTGACTTACCCGCAGGAACCAACCCAAAAGAATAGTCCATGCTACTGCTTTACATCTGTGTGAACAAAGGATGTACAGCTTGGAGCCCTTAGAAATGTAGGTGTCACATGGCTCATGAGGGATGTTCTAAGTAATAGGTTTTCCAGCTGGGTTTAATTGATTAAATTTCTCAATAGAAAAAGGTTGTCTTTAGATTATCATGCCTCACCTGCAAAGGAAAACCTGACAGCGATTTGGGGAATGTGTTCCAAAGGGTAAAGCAGAGTATGCGCGCTGCAGCAAGCACTAATATAATCGAGGCCATGTTTTTCCGGAAAGAGTTCCAACCCAATTGGCGGTGTTCTAAGTATATTAATGACAAGCTGGTTTGACTGGGCAGTTGTACCTGCACAATTCTTTGTTGGAGCAACTCAAGAGGTCTGAAACCTACTGAGGTGAGAACAAATTCTAAAACCTGTATATAGAGGTCAAAAGCGACAAGGAAACAAAAACGGAGAGGGAGAGGGAGTGGTGAATTCTTTGGACTTTAGTAATACCTAATATCAGACATGGAGGAGCGTGTTCTAAGTATCCCCCCACCCTGGCCTTTGGAAGGGATCGCATCAACTCAGGTTGCAGGTTAAGATCGACCAGAATTGCCGCAAGTTCCTCACCAACCAGTTTTCCAATGCAGCATCTTGTCGGCGCGCTGCGGTTGCCTTTGCTGAAGGGGTCAAGTCTATGGTGGCAAAGTTTGAATCGCTGCGTGGAAAGGCCTGCGCAATTTTTGTTGGAGCAGCTCAAGAGTTTTGAAACCTACTGAGGTGAGAAAGAATTGTTAAACCTGTATAATTATAAGGGTCAAAAGGGACAAGGAAGTCATACCTACTTATTTTCAGACATGGAGGAGCTTGTTCTAAGTATCCCCCCTCCCAGGCCTTTGGAAGGGATCGCAACAATGTTTATACAGTATATAAGTTCACACACTTCCCTGTTGAGGCGGGGGCTGCTGAAAGGAAGACTTGGATGGAGAGCAGAGGGTTCTCTACGAAAGGAACTCTGGCAGTCCAAAAGAGCTTCCTTGTTGTCAAATGCATGCGTGGTGAATGCCTGGAATGTGAGAAAATGGTCTTGGCAGCAGTCGATCTCTCCGGCTGCTTGCACGGGAACAGCAAGGTTGAGTTGGGTGACAAAGCCTTTACATACAAGGTGACCTTTGACCTCAATGGCACAGAGACTCTTTCCAAGCAGGTTGACAACCTGAAGGTTGCATATGAATGGTTGCTTTCACTGGGAAGTTCATCAAAACAGGGGACTTTAGCTCAAGGCCTGAGAAAGGCGCAGCAAGTCGCAAAGCCCGCAGTAGCACTGGAAAAAGCAGCTGATACATTGAGCTCGGAGAAACCTGGAGACCTTCAAGAAATGGTTTCCTCTTTGTCCGGACCACCTTTGCTCCAGGATGCCACTGACATGACGGCTGACTTTATGAAGCCTGCCCCAGAGGAGAGTGAGGGCTTACCGCCTTCATGCGCATGCATCCACAAGGGTTCTATGTGCACATTCACGAACCTTTGTTACAAGACCCAAGATGCATGTGCACTGCTTCTTGGGAAGCCGGCATGGAACGGCAAGTGGCATGTCACCAACTTTGTTCTAAGTATGGGCTCTTTGCAAGAGTTGATGGATCATTCAAGAGTCCTTGCACGCTGCAAAGCCTTAAACTTGAACTTCTGTGGTGCAATCATGTCGGGAACTCCTGCTTATTGGGACGACCGTCTGACTGATGTGCTCAAGATGTTCAGTTCTTCTTGTGAGTGCCCGCTTTTCATCCACATTGATTTCTCCAAAGTGGCAACTGGGAAGCCTCATGCATGGGAGCTGTTTGAGGGAGAGTGCCGCAGGGTCTCAATCCAATGGACAACACAGCCAAGGGAGGTGCAGAAGAGGCTTTTGTACAACCTGTGCTGGCTCGAGGACTTTGGAGTGAGTCATCTTGAGCATGCGACCAAGAGAATCTGCGCTGCGGTTCTTGCAGAGGTCCTTAGAAAATCAAAGCCACATGATCAGGAACAGCAACTGACCAGGATGGTCTTCCTTAAACGGATTGAGGTTCCTGCTGATGGTATGTGCGGTTGGCATGCTTTGCTTGCAGGCCATGACATCAAAAGATTTGAGGGCATTTATCGCCAGAAAGGAGTGCCAGTGAACCTCTTGGTTGCTCAGGATGAGTCAAAACAAGTCAAGGAATTCCATCAACAGGCTTGCAAAAGAGCTTTGGAAGAATATGATACACAATCTCCCTACTTCCGTGACATCCAGAGAGTTCAGTCACACCCGGCGTTTGGGCCTGCTGATTTGAGATGGATTTCTTACGTGCTCAGCACTGCCATTAGGGTCACTTGCTCCACTCAGGCCCGCGCAACATGCCAGTTGTGTGTAAGCAAGTATGTAAGCGTATCTTGCACCCAATACACACAAAAATACATGTGTATATATATAGTCATATAATGTGCAATATAATGTAATATAAAGTGTATGTATATATTATATATATATATGTTTAAACTATATATATACAAATATCGGTTTACACTATGTGTATATATATATATATATCCGCATATTGTTTGAACCACGGGTTGTTTCAAAAACCTGCTGGAGGTCGGTGACATCAATGGCAAGCTTTTGGACACCGTCTACGGGGAAGGCGAGCCCTCCATTCACCTCTATTTCTTCTTTGGTGTCAGTGAGGATGGCCACACTTATGGCCACTACCAACTCTTGGCTCCAGCTAGCAAACACGCTAGCCACGCAGATTGTTTGGAGCTTCCGGAAGTGGTGGGAAGCACGCATTCCCTTAAATCCCGCCAATTCTTGGCAAGCATGTTGGTGGATGAAGATGAAGGCCAACCTCCTCTGCCACCACCTGCTCGACCTCCAAATGACATGGAGCCGGAGCAACAAGCAGCAGAACCACAACCATCCTACACAGCTGCACAGGCAAAGCACTTACAACAAACAAGTTCAGCAGCACCCATGGAAGCAGAAGTCCAGGAGCAGGCAGAAGCAAAGCAAATAGACATGACAAAGCCTGGGTCACAAACCACACTTGGTGACCGTCCATTGGAAGATGCAGCCAGATCGAGCCAGACACC